TGAGGAAGGAAGTGGTCTCCAGTATGGATGCCTTGGGATGGCTACCTAAACCGCGTGGCCAGTGACTCCCTGACTCCGCATCTGAGCACTAGCGGATCACTTTAGCTTTTTTCTTTTCTTTTTATTATTAAATGCTTATATGATTATAAACATGGAAAGGAACCAATCCACTTTCACCACAGGCAGTCTATCCAGGTCCTCGTTTATGGGTGTAGTACTAATATTAAGCACATAGAGATTAAAAGTACCCACGGAAAGCCTTGTTGCTCATTAGTCGTTTTCAATCTTATAGGTTAAAGTCCTCAAGCAACAGAAACGGGAAAACAGCAATTGAAACCAGAGGCCAGTTAAGTTGTGAAGGACTTCGTCGTTTTCTTGTAGTTTTTGGTGCTAGGGTAGTGGTGGTGGGGACAGGCCGGAACTCTTATGTGTAGACAGGTTGATCTCCGACTTAATCAGTGGCTCCTGGTTGTGATTGTGCCTGAGCATGTTCAAATACCCCCCATTCATGGATTTGGTTATATGGAGGATTTATTGCTATAGTCTCCTGGTAAATCTGTGATAGACTGGAAAACAACCTGGAAGACTTAATATATTGGTTGCGTTGTTTTGAGATAATGTCTCACCATGTACTCCTGACTGGCTGGGGACCCATGGGAATCATCTTGCCTCTACATCTCAAGTGCTAATATTAAAGGCATTCACCACCCCACCCCAGCTACAGACTAGCAGTTTTACAGTCCCCTGTAGGGTTTGATCTGTAGAGTTGGCATTATCTTTTGTGCTCTATAGTTTACAACGTGTGCATAGTTTAAACAAATAAAAAAGCAAAACGCTATTTAGCTTTATGAACATCAATTAAATTCATCCCAGCGAAAAGTCAAGTAAATTCATTCCAGTATTTCACAGTGGTGAAAACAGTGTATCACCTCTAAGTGTAGTCCTTTCCCCCAACTTCTCTCCCCCACCCCACTACCCCACCACCCCCCTCCCTCTAACCCTAACCAGTCCCGGACCTTTAACATGTTAGGCAGTCGTAGCTTCCCTAAGATTGTGCTTATAGTCATAATTGTTTCTTGTGTAGTTTATGTGCCGGCAAAAGTATATTAAAAATCCGGCTGCTTTTGTACGGAGATGTTGAAGTCAGACTGTGTTTAAATATCCCTTTTGAGTCCTATAGCTATTTTGAGTTAATTTTTCATTTTAAAAGGAAATTCCCATATCATTGTGCTTTTAAAATATAGTTTGGGAGATCCCGAGGTGACGGCAAGAGTGGATGCCCAGCATGGAGGACTACACAGTCCTGAGAGTGATTGGCCAAGGCTCATTCGGCAGGGCTCTTCTGGTGCAGAAAGAAAGCAGCAATCAGAAGTTTGCCATGAAGGAAGTAAGACTTCCCAAGGTAACCACTAACAGAAACAGCTCACATTGAAAGTGAGCATACAGTCTATATAAAGTGCTTGTTTTTGTTTGTTTGTTTGTTTGGAGGGGTTCGAGGCAGGGTTTCTTTGTGGCTTTGGAGGCTGTCCTGGAACTTGCTCTTATAGACCAGGCTGGTCTTGAACTCACAAGAGATCCGCTGCCTCTGCCTCCCAAGTGCTGGGACTAAAGGCGTGTGCCACCAATGCCCAACCAAGTGCTTGGGATTTACTGTGTCATTTACCTTCCCTGTAAAAATGTATTTGGCTTCTTCATGAGCTTTACAAAGGCTTGATGTAGTCTGTATGGTTCTTAGGTTAGTGAAATTAACAGAGAAGTAGTCAAAATGTACCGGTTGATCTTAGCGATAACAATTTGTATGTTCCAATTTTGTATGTCAGCAATGTGAAGAATCTGCCAAAAGTAGTCAGGTGCAGTGTGAATGAGAGAACAAAATGCAGTAAGAACAGGGTTACAGTGTAAAGCATCAGTTGGTTACTAGGAAACCTACGCAGAGGATCTATTTGTTCTTTTTTTCCCTGTGGATTGCTTGTTAATGAGACTTTTGGGGAGTGGGAAGTGATGCAGTGGTCCCACTTATGGCTGACCATTCCACTGATTCTTACTTTCTGCACGTTGACCTGTTGTGAGTTCCTGTGTTAACCACTGTGTGATGCACAAAGTAACGTCTCTGATTAGGTCTGAGAGCGGCACTAATCTACCACAGGTAGAGATAGTATTTAGAGGGCAGTTTGACATTATGTTCATTTAGTGGACTGAATAGTAATAGGTTCATCCCTTGGGGCCCGTGAGCTCCCCAGTGATGGATTCTTGGTCAGATTTACAGCACTAGATACGTGTTTCTTCCTGTGGATCAGACCTGAAATCCAATTAGAAAGCTGTTGCTCACCCCTAACGTTCATGCCACTGTTGCTGCACCCTTGGACATGTCTTGCCATACTGGTCATTATTGTAGTTCACAAAAAAGGATACTTTGACTCTGCATCGTGGAATTGAACCCCAGTATCTTCATGTTAGCCAGGGATGCTCATTACACTACTGTACTAATGAGGACAACTTTGTTTTGTTTTTGAAACAGGGTCTCACTATGTAAGCCAGGCTAGCCTGGAACTTGCTGTCTTCCTGCCTTAGCTTCCCAAGTGATGGGATTACAGGTGTGTGCCACCACACTGGGCTCCCACTGAAGTCTTGATTTCAAACTAAAGTGGGCCTCATGATCCTGCAGGAGTCTTGCTGAAACAGTAATTTTGCTCTACTTTCATGTAGATCTGACTAGGCTGTGAGTCACTTTCAGCATGTTCACACTTGATGCTGATGCTGCTGATCTGAAAATCTTGAGTTTCCCTCCCTCTCTCCTCCCCTTCCTTCTCTCTCCTTTCCCTTTTCCTTTTGTTCTTCCTTCCTTCCCCCTCCCACCTTCCCCCTTCCTGCCTCTTGGCTTTACACCCAGGCTCCATAGTTTGTTCTTGATTATAAGCCATTTAGCATTTCATCCCTGAATAACTCTTGAATAAGTAGTTTGAGAAACTTAATTTGCATTCGTCGGTGTCCATCTCTGCATGTTTTTCATCTGAGCTGAGGAACCACCAAAAGGGTGCTTAGAGTCTACTGCAATGAAAGCTTTGGTTTTCTTTGAGTGTTTTCATGTAGTGTTTTCAATAGAATATGGCTGTCCGGTCAGCTGATGCTTAGGTACATTTGTTCTTGGTTTTGGTGGTGGAGGTGGGGAATCAAACCCCTGGTCTTGAGCATTGTTGAGGGAGGGCTCTACCACTGAGCCACATCAGCAGTCCAAGTACATATGAAAATACATGCATTCTGTATGTGGAGGGAAAAAATGTATGTTCTAATACAGCCCAAGCTTGGTCAGCCCAAGCATACAAAATAGCCATAATCAAAAAGTCACTGTATATTTTGTTTCAGAGTTTGAAAGCTTGAACCAAAGTAGATTTGTAAACCTGCATGTAGCATTGAAGTCTTATATAAAACTATACAAAATATTGGTTTGAGGCTATTTTAAAATTTAGCATTGAATTTCTAACAATTTAAAGGTTTTTTTTTTTTTCAGTCTTTCTCTGAAACACAGAATTCTAGGAGAGAGGCTGTTCTGCTAGCTAAAATGAAACACCCCAATATTGTTGCCTTTAAAGAGTCATTTGAAGGTAAATATTAACCCTCCCAAATATGATTGTACCTGAATTTAATTTTTAGCACCTATGGCTTCCCTCAGGCATCTCCTGTGTGTTTTAGCTGAAGGGCATCTGTATATTGTGATGGAGTACTGTGATGGAGGGGATCTAATGCAGAAGATTAAACAGCAAAAAGGAAAGTTACTTCCTGAAGATATGGTAAGAAACTAACTTATATAGTTTCTAAGTTTGGAAGCAAATTTCCCCATAAAGTTTGTATAAATTAATGTTAAATCTGGGCATCTGTAATTACCTGGCCTAGTGAGAAGCTGCTGTTTAAGGTCTGTTATTGATGGATTTTTCTCAGGCAATGTGTCTTAGTCAGGGTTTCTAGTGCAGTGATGAAATGCCATGACCAAAGCAACTTGAGAAAGAAAGGGTTTATTTGGCTTATACTTCATATCACCGGAGGAAATAAGTACAAGAACTCAAACAGGGCAGGCACCTGTAATCCCAGTATTTGGGAGACAGAGACAAAGGCTCAGAAGTTCAAATTATCCTTGGCTAAAGTTTGAGGCCAGTCTGGGACACAGACTATCTCTACCACACCTCCCAGCCAGACACAGAAAAAGAAACTTACATTCCGTTAAAAAGAAAATTTTATTAAAATAATACATCTGGATCATACATGAGATGACAAAAAATGGGAATCAGGTTTCTGAATTTCTCCAAATAATACTGAATTTTAGTTGAACTGTGTAATTTTTATGAGTGCAGAATTCACTTTAAAAAATTTTTTCTGGGGGCTGGAGAGATGGCTCAGAGGTTAAGAGCACTGACTGCTCTTCCAGAGGTCCTGAGTTCAATTCCCAGCAACCACATGGTGGTTCACAACCATCCGTTATGAGATCTGGTGCCCTCTTCTGGTGTGCAGATAGACATGGAAGCAGAATGTTGTATACATAATAAATAAAATTAAAAAAAAAATTTTTTTTCACTTTCAAAATCCTGGTAAAATAAGGCCTAGAGGTGATATCTCAGAATTTAGTTGACATCAGCTGGTTATTGCATCTTTATAGGTGGTGTGTACTTTTTTCTTTTAAAGTATTTTATTACTTCTTTTAGATTTTTATATAGTATATTTTGGTCATATTTATCCCCAGTTCTTCCCCCTAAATCCTATGTATACTTTTTTCTTAAAGATACTTAACTGGTTCATACAAATTTGTCTTGGAGTAAATCACATTCACAAGAAACGAGTGTTACACAGAGATATCAAGTCCAAAGTGAGTATAAGGCATTTGGGGTCTGGGAAAACTATTTTGTTGTCTTTTTTTTTTTTTTTTGCTATTATTATTTCCATTTGGGATATTTCTATTTAGTTTAGCTTAGAAAATTTTGCCAGTCTAGTACCTTTTTATATTCATCTTTTAATTAAAAAAAAATATAGCTGGGTGTGGTGATGAGTACCTTTAATTCTAGCACTTTGGAAGCAGAGGCAGGTGGATCTCTGAGTTTGCGGCCAGCCTGGCGTAGAGTAAGTTCCAAGACAGGGCTACACAGAGAAACCGTATCTCAAAAAAAAAACAAAAAAAACAAAAAAAAAACCAAAAACAAACAAACAAACAAACAAACAAAAAAACCCAAACAATTCCCTCACCTTATGGAAAGTAAAATTAACAAAATTTTATATATTTATAGTATACAATATGATATTTTAATATACACACAAGCATACACATTGTAACATGATTAAGTCATGTTAATTGATGTGTCTGTTTACTTTTTTAGGTTTAAGTGTGTATACGTGTGTGTGTGTGTGTGTGTGTGTGTGTGTCTGTGTGTGTGTCTGTGTGTGTGTGTGTACATGTGTACTATGCATGAGAGAGTATATGTCCAAGTAGGCCTGGGCTTCAGATTCCCTGGAGCTGGAGTTACAGATGGTTGTGAGCCACCTGGTATGTGTCCTGGGAACCAAACCCAGGTCCTCTAGAAGAGCAACAAGTGCTTTTAACCACTGAGCCATCCTGCCAGCCCCCTACCCTTCTGAAACTTAATATCTGCTCTTAGACCAGACATGGTGATACCTGCCTGTGATCCCAGCCCCTGGGAGGCCAAGGCAGGAGGATTTCTATTTGAGGCCAGCACAGACCACCCGAGTCAAATCCTACCACATAAAAATAAATAAAATCTACTCTTTTAGTAATTCTCAAGGATGGCTTATATTGCCAGGCAGTGGTGGTGCACGCCTTTAGTCCCAGCACTCAGGAGGCAGAGGCAAGTGGGATCTTTGTGAGTTTGAGGCCAGCCTGTTCTACAGAGCGAGTTCCAGGACAACCAAACAAAAACAAAAAAAAAAATCATATATTAATCATGGTCATCACGATGTACAATCAATTTTTTTGTTTGTTTGCTTGAAGACAGGGTCTCACTGTGTAGTCCTGGTTGTCCTGAAACTCTTTATGTAGATCAGACTGGCCTCTAATTCCAGGGGGTCCACCTGCCTCTGACATTTAATACCATATCAGCCATGCAGTAGATCTTTTGTTGTTGTTGTTTGTTTTGTTTTTGTTTTTGTTCTTGTTTTTGGTTTTTCAAGACAGGATTTTTTTGTGTAACAGAGTCCTGGCTGTCCTGGAACTTGCTTTGTAGAACAGACTAGCCTTGAACTCACAGACATCCAGTTACTTCTGACTCCTGAGTCCTGGGATTCCATGCACAGTTCCATGCAGTAGATCTTACAGACTTAATTATCCTAAGTAAAACTTTACACCCTTTGACCTAGAATTTATACTAACCAAATAAAGTAGTGTATGTAAAAAAGGAGTTAAAATCTCTATGGAAGTCTATATGAATGTAGCCCTTTTAGTGCTCACTGAATAAATGCATGTGTTCTTAGGTGGAAAGTGGGCAGTACCTGCCCCAGCCACTGATCTGATCTGATCTGATGCTACCTTACATTTGCTTGTTAGACTTGAGGGCAGTCATCCTGAATTCCCAGGCAGGGGGATGTGCAGCTGTTGTAAGAGGGGATCTTGCTATTTTCTCATTCTCTCTGGGACCCAGCTGTCAGTATTTCTACCTTATCTCCACCATCAGAAGGCTTTGAAAGCTACTCTAGGGATCACTGTCTTAGCTGGGACAATCAAGACATAATCTGCTTTCTTGTTTTTCGACACAGAATGTCTTCCTCACCCAAAGTGGGAAAGTGAAATTGGGAGATTTTGGCTCTGCCCGCCTCCTCTCCAGGTATGTATCTGTCCCACTTAGGGACACAGATGGGAACATCCATTATCAGAAGAGCTTCGGAATCACTTTGCCTTTCTGTGCTTTTTCAGTCCCATGGCCTTTGCATGTTCATATGTGGGAACACCTTATTATGTGCCTCCTGAGATTTGGGAAAACCTGCCTTATAACAATAAAAGGTGAGTAGTGTCCTTATTCGGATAATGTTGGCCATTTGGTGGAAGGGGCTCTAGTCTGCAGACTGATGCTGGCTGGGATCTGGTGCAGATGCATAGAGCTTATATCCTTTAAAATTTTATTTTACTCCAGGCGCTGGTGGCACATGCCTTTAATCCCAGTACTTGGGAGGCAGAGGCAGGTGGATCTCTGTGAGTTTGAGCCCAGCCTGGTCTACAAGAGCTATTTCCAGGACAGCCTCCAAAACCACAGAGAAACCCTATCTTGAACCCCTGCCCCCCAAAATTATTTTAGTTATTTTGTGTGAGTGTCTCTGTGAGTGTGCCACAGCCTGTGTATGGCTGTCAGGGGACATTCTTTTGGAAGTTGCTTCTCCGGCTTTGTTTAAGGAGGTCTGTCTGCCTTTTTTGTAGTTTCCGCTGCTGCACTGCATACTTCAGGCCAGCTGGCCCATGAGCTCCTAGCCAGCACTACTGTTTCACTTTCCGTCTTGAGGTGGAAGTGCAGAGATCACAGATGTATGCACCTAACTTTTATGTGCATTTAGAAGATCAAAATCAGGTGGCCAGGCTTGGGGGGCAAGTGTTTTGACCTACTGAGCCACATTTTCCATTCTGCTTTCTAAAAATATGCTTTTAATTTTAGGCCTCAAACTCCCAAATCATTGACACAGAGACTTATTAGTTTTGAATGCTCAGCCTAGCCTCGGCTTGTTTCTGGCTAGCTCTTTTAAATTAACCTGTTTTTCTTTATCTACTTTTTGCCTTTGGGCTTTTTCCCTTTCTTTCTGTATGTCTTACTCTGTGTCTTCTCTCTGACAGCTGCCTGGCTGGTCCCAGGCATCTCCCTCTCTTCCTCCCTTGTTCTCTCCTCTTGTTCTTCCCTCCTCTTGTTCTTCTCTTCTTGCTCTTCTTGAGCCTAGATTTCTCTTCCTATTTATTCTCTGCCCATCTATCTGTCTAGCTATTGGCTGTTTAGTTCTTTATTAGACCAATCAGGTGCCTTAGGCAAGGTAAAACAAATGCAATACATCTTTACATAATTAAACAAATGTAACATATCTTTGCCTAGTTAAAGTAATATTCCACAATATTTGGGACCTTGGTGAATGCAGCTCATTAGTAGAATAATTTTGCCTAGCATGTGTCTTGGATTTGATTACCAACACCACAGAGATAAAATGGCATAAAAATGTATTTTGAAGTTACATGGAATCTGTATTCTCAGGTGTCTGGAGGAAAGACCTGGTTTTCCAACTGCTGTAATCACAGCTGTGAGGGGCTGGTAGCTGGAATTGCTTCAACTTTTGCTTCATTTAGGACAGCGGTTATCAAACTGTGGGTCAAGGCCCCTTTGAGTGTTGAACCACCCTTTCACAGGGATTGCATATCAGATATTTACATTACAATTCATAACTGTAGCAAAAGAACAGTTATGAAGTAGCATTGAAAATGATTTTAATGGCTGAAAGTCACCATAACATGAGGAAACTATATCAAAGGGTTGCAGCATTAGGAAAGTTGAGAACTGATTTAGGATGTGGCTGGCTATGGGTTTTTCTTATATTGCTTTTATTATATTGAGATATGTTCCTTCTAGCCCCATATTCTGTAGGACTTTTATAATGAATGCATGTTGTTTTTTGTCAAGGCCTTTTTCTGCATCTCTCGAGATGTTCAGGTGATTTTTGTCTTTAAGTTCATTTATGTGGTTTACTACATTCATTGACATGACTGAGTTGAACCATCCCTGCATTTCAGGGTAAGCCAACTGGATCATGGCAAACAATATTTTTGATGTTTGTCTGTATTCTGTTTGCTTATGATTTTACTGGACATTTCTGTTCTGTGTTCTTCGAGGATATTGGCCTGCAGTTCCTTCCTCCTCCCCTGTCTTCCCCCTCTCCCTCCTCTTGTTGTGGAGGTTAGGCATCCAAGCCTGGTCTGCAGTTATAGATACTGCCCGGTGGAGTGGTTTAGGCAAGCAGTGTGGGTCCTGGAGGAAGCTTACAGGTTGGTTGCTTTGCAGGCAGGGGTGGTCAGAGTAAGCTGGGGCACTGATTGTGGGGCCAGGGCTAGATCTGGAGGGCTGTTATCATAAAATGTAGGACAATGGGTAAAAGTGTTTACCACCATGCTTGATGACCTGAGGTCAGTCTCCAGGGCACACATGGTGGAAGAAGAGAACAGACACCTGCAAGTTGTGCTCTGACCTCCACATGTACCCTGTGGCCCATGTGTGTGTTCATACATATGAAAAATAAGTTAAATAATAAAAATGAGAGAAAATGCACATACCGCCATGATAATGCATACCATAGTTGTTGTTATGCTGTCTCTTCGTGCTTCTAGTGACATCTGGTCCTTGGGATGCATTCTGTATGAACTCTGCGCCCTGAAACATCCGGTAAGTATGGGCCATTTGTCAAACCTGGCTAAGGCCTGAAGGAGGGGCAAGGTTTGAACTGGGGTTCACTTTCCCAGTAAGAATTTGTTATAAAAGTTTCCATTTGTTCCCATTGTGTTGATCCGTTTTGTAGTCCTGTGCCAACACAAAGTGTCTATTACAGGCCGATTGAATAGTAGCTTTTCTTCTATTTTAAAAAAAAAAAATGCAATATTTGCCATTGTAGCCATTTTTAAGTTCACAATTCAGTGGCATGAATTACATTCAAGATATTAATTACACTGATATTAATTACCCTTGTGATATTCATTAATTACATTTGTGATATTCATTGGCTACATTCACATGATGGCTATATTTATGATATTCATTCATTATATTAATTGTATTGATTAATTATATTTATGATATGTCCTGATATTACTGCCTATTTGTGGGGCTTTTCCATCACACAAAACAGAAACTCTGTACTTAGGAAATCATTGCTCTATATTCTTTCCTTCTCCAGCTTGAGGTAACTTGTAATCTTTTTGTCCGTGAATTTGTATATTCTGCATACTTCATGTAGTACAGTTCTATAGCATTTGTCCTTTTTGTTTTATTTCATGTATTTGAGTGTTTTGCCACATGTGTGCCTGGTGCCCAGGGAAGTCAGAAGAGGGTGTTAGATAGTCCAGAACTGGAGGATGGTTGTGAGCCATTATACGGGTGCTGGGAATTGAACTTGGGTCCTCTGCAAGAGCATTAAGCTCCGAGCCATCTCTCCAGCACCTTTTTGTCCTTTTCTGTCCTTCACTTCACTTTCTATGTTGCAGCATGGGTCAGAATTCTATCCCTTTTTATTGCTGAGTAATAACCCATTGTGTGCATGCACAGTTTTACTTACTGTCTTACCTGTAAGCTGCTTAACATGTTCTTTCTATTGTAAATAGATCTAAACATAGGTAAACATATAGTTGTTAAGAGTCCCTGGTTCCAATTAATTTATATACTGAAGAGTTGAGTTGTGGGTCATGGGCTAGTTTATGCTTAGTGTATTAGTTATGTTTCTGTTGCTGTGATAAGGCACTGGCCAAAACCAAGTTTGGGAGGAAAGGGTTTATTTCATCTTCTAGTTATAGTCCATCATGAAGGGAAGCCAGGGCAGGGACCATGGAGGAACTCTGCTGATTGGACTCGTTCTTTTGTTTGTTTGTTTGTTTTTTATGTTTGTGTGTTTGGTCCTGTTTTGTATTTCAGGATTGTAGCTCCATTTGCTTTCATCATATAGTCCCTTGGCTATCCTTACTCCCCTCTTCATCTGAAGTAACTGCTTCCAGTATTCTCTATAGGTCTGGTTTGCTAGACATAAATTCTTTCAGCCTGCTTATTCGTGGATTTCTTTCTCCTTAAACTATGACAGACAGTTTTCCCAAGTCTGCATCTGTGGTCTTTTAGAACTTGGGGGGGCATATTGCTCCAGGCTCTTCTGACCTTCAAAGTTTCCATTAAGATGGCAGATATTATTGTGATGTATTTTCCTTTAGCAGTGACTTGTTTTTCTCTTCCAGTTTTCATTACTCTCTCTTTGTTCTCTATATTTAGTGTTGTTTTTAAGATAGGGTTTCTCTGTGAAGGTCTGGCTGTCCTGGAACTCCCTCTGGATAGCCTTGAACTCAGAGATCACCTGCCTCTGCCTCCTAAGTCCTAGTAGGCATGTACTACCATTGGCCAGCTTATATTTAATGTTTTTTTTCTGCTTCTTTCTATTTGGTATTCTGTGTGCTTCTTGTATCAGTATGGGTGTGTCTTTCCTTAGTTTTGGGACTCTTTTTTATGATCCTTTTGGAGATCTGATCTATGCCGTTGACCTGGAGTTCTTCTATACCATTATTTCATACATTTGATCTTTCATGGTGTCCCAAAGTTATTACACATTTGTGGCAGTTTAGATGAGAGTATCTTACGTAGGTGCAGATACTTGAATACTTTGTGTTGGCGGTTCTATTTGATAAGAATTTGGACCTGTGGCCTTGCTGGAGGAAGTATGTCACTGAGGGTGGCTTTGAGGTATCAAAGTCTGGCTCTCCCACCCAGTCTCTTCCTGCACAGGTATAAGCAAGTCAGCTCTTTATTAACTCGTGACAATAATACATATTTACAGTGTACAAAAATTGTTCCACAGCACTGTGGGAGGAAGGAGCTAAGCCAGGTTCACCCAGAGAGCCTGCCTGAGTCTGGAGGCTTGGTGTGGATGGGCAAGAGAGGGTAAGGATCCTGGTTCAGACTAGGCAAGGGTGTGAGGACAGGGTTCCCACCTGGGTCTGGGACTGGAGAGCTGGAGTGTGGGGGCAGCCATAGCTCAGCAATGTATGGTTAGCTTTGTAGGAACCCCCAACTAGAGTTTATGCTAAAGTGTGAGAAAACAGAATTTGCCCTAATAGGTATTTTTTTTCTAGATACTTTCAGATAATTTAACAACAAGAGACATTGACTAGCCCTACTTACTTATTGGTAGTTGCTCCTTTGGTGGTAGTTGCTTGTTTGGCAGTAGCTGATTGCATATAGCAACACTCAAAGCTGATCCAGATTAGGTCTTCACTTTGCATAAGAAATAAGTTGTTTATCTGTGGATCAAGCCTGTCTTCCTGAGAGCAAACAGTTCAGGAGGTTTTTGAGAGCAGAAAATGTCCTCTCAGCACCTGATGTGAAAGCAATTCAGACCAAAGCATGTGTTGTTCGTGATAGGCCATCTCCCTTGAATAGAAGTGACTTCTAGTGCCAGCTTCACAGCTATAAGGAGGTAAGCTGGGCCTGGTGGTTCACGTAGGAGGATGAGGCCCAAGGACCAGGAGCATAAGACCAACCTGACAGAGAAGACTCAAAAAATAAAGTCTGCAAGTTCCAATGACATAAACATGGGGGGGGGATTCATTAGTTAAGAGCACCCAGTGCCCTCACAGAGAACTCAAGTTCAGTTCTCAGCACCTAGATGGAGGCTCACAACTGTCTCTAACTCCAGTTCTTGGTGATTTAACACCTCTGGCCCCTGTGGTAACCTGAATATACTCTCGGACTGTCTGTCTGTCTCATGTACGTGCATAATAAAAACAAAATCTTTAAAAAATAAATGTTTTAAAAAGAATAGCTTAAAGAACTTTTTAACATGCCAAGGCCTGGGCCCACTCTACATACCTGAATCAGGATCTCCAGAGAGGTCTTGAATTTGTGTTTTTAAATCAGGTGATTCTGAAGTGCATCTCAAGTTGAGAACCACTGTTGTTCTGATGCCACCCCGAGTTTCCGAATTCCAGGCTAGCACTGATTAGGTACCCGGAGCAGACAGTGAGAGACACCAGGTGTCCATGTGGAGGGCTGTGATGCTCATGTCCACCTTCCTCCAAAGCACAGGCGGCTGCGAATTGTCCTTAAGGACAACCGTAGAAGAAAACAGCAGGTGCCTTTCCAAAATGAACATAATCTATGAAAATGTGAATTTACTTCAGCCAGTGTTTCTTATTTCTATATTTTCTTTCCATGTATCTGGTTTTAAAATGTCATTTTTACTTTTCAGTTTCAGGCAAATAGTTGGAAAAATCTTATCCTGAAAATATGTCAAGGGCCCATCCACCCCCTGCCAGCTCAGTATTCCTACAAGCTTCAATGTCTTGTCAAGCAGATGCTGAAAAGGAGTCCTTCGCAGCGCCCGTCCACTACTACCCTGCTTTGCAGAGGCAGCTTAGCGCCACTCGTCCTGAAGTGCTTACCCCCTGAGGTATGACAAGAGTGTCTCTCATTGGCCCTGGAATGGTAACATTTCTTTTTAACTTATCTGGCGCTAGGCATGAGGGTTCCATGTTGTGTGTGGAGGTATCAGAGGACATCTTGGCTCTCTCCTTCCATCTTTAATGGGCCCAGTAGTCAAACTCAGGTTATCAGGCTTAGCAGCAGGCGCTTTTAACCATTGAGCCATGTCACTGACCCTGAAATGGTTATCTCTTAAGCATAATTTACTCATTACACATGCTTGTAAAAACTCCCGTCATTTGGAGGAGTGTTTAAAATGGTGAGATTTCTTTTCCTCTTTTGCCTCTCATGGCTTCCTCCACTGTTACACTTTCCAGTCCTGGGGTTGAGCCTAGAGCTTCACTTACTGTAGACAGGGTCTATCGATCATTTTGATTTCTAGCTTCAGCTTGCTGGTCCCTCCAGGTCTTTTTCTAGACACATAAACTATGTTTGTCTCAATTATAATGTTAATTGACTGCCCCCCCCTTTCTTTTCTTGCTAAGGATCAAACTTGGGCTGTGGTTTTGGTGTCCACACTGACCTCAAATTGGCAGGTCTGCCTTAGCCTCCCAAGTAGCTAAGGTTATGCTCATCTCCTTATATTTGCTTTTACATGACTTTTTTGTTTTGTTTTGTTTTGTTTGAGACAGGGTTTCTCTGTATTGCTTTGGAGCCTATCCTGGCACTTGCTCTGGAAACCAAGCTGGCCTTGAATTCACAGAGATCCACCTGCCTCTGCCTCCCAAGTGCTGGGATTAAAGGCGTGTGCCACTAACACCCGGCTTACATGGCATTTTTATTTTCCAACTTTTAGTGCTCTTGTGTTGAAGAGCGGTGATAATTATATGACATTATGGTGGTGTCCAAAGGAAAGCATCTTTCTTTATCTGGGTCTGGGTTTGCTGTACCAGTGAGTATTCCCTGCCATGTGGGCTAAGACAGGGGGACCACAAGTTCAAGGCCTGCTTGGGGTATAGTAAAGTGTTTTTCCCATCTTTAAATGCCCATTTTTAAATTTTAGATCATCAGAGAATATGGAGAGCAAATACTGGATGAAACCAAAATATCTGAGCCTAAGAAACTGAAAAAAGGGGGTAAGAATTTTGGGACGCTTTTAAAGGTATCATAAAAAGAAAACGTAATTTTCACCAGGCAGTGATGGTACATACCTTTAATCCCAGCACTCAGGGGACAAAGACATGTAGATCTCTGTGAGTTTGGGAGGCAGAAACAGGAGGATCTATGCGAGTTCAACGCCACCCTGACCTGCAGAGGAGTTTCAGGACAGCCATAGTTGTAACTGCAGGGAAATCCTGTCTCAAAAAACCTGATAAGAGCACAGGGGACTTAATGGGAGATCAGGACTTTATGTTGGCACTCCTTGCTGCTCCCTTATAAGCCTAATGGCTGGTTCTAAGTCTGGGTTGTCTCCTTTTGTTATGGGGATGGAGCCCAATTGGAGGTCAATCCTAGTGAACAGACAACAGCAGAAAATTTCTCAGCAACCCTGAAGTTCAGCTGTGTGGAATTCTCTGACCTGCAGTCGTTAACAAGACTGGTTAGTATGGTCCTTACCTTCCAGTCATATCAGAGGGGGTGCTCCTCTAGCTAAATTCTACTTTGTGGAGCTTAATATTTCATAAGGAAGTAAATCCTTCCTAGCCTCAATTTTATTACTGCAAGTTTTTCCCGAATCGATATTGTACTTTTTAATTTTCAGGGACTAAGAAGAACCCAGTTTGGATAGTTCAGTGATAAGAGAATGTGTATTTTTTATTTTAGAATCTTGTCTAGTTTGGCTTATTATTTGACAGCTCAAAGGGATCTAACCATGAAAATACAACACTAATATTATAGCAAATAGTATCCCCAGGTTTGTGATGGATCATTGTGCAAACTAATTTTTCAAAGGCAGGCTTTTCTGCAGAGAACAGTGGCTTTGAGTAGCAGTGATCAGTCAGTATCAGCTCACTGACCGTAGCAGGTGTGTCATGTAGTACAGGATGTCAGTTGGTGTGAGATGTGATGTGTGTGTGGAAACAGGTGTGTATGCTTTTCATTCAGTTTGTAGTGACCATAAATCTTATCTATAAAGATAAAAGTTATCAATAAATACAATTTAAGAACAGCCCTTTCAAAAGGAATCACCCACATAACCACTGCATAAAAATTTCATACGGCTATAGTCTGCCCTAGGCAAGCATCAAATCTAATTTAACTTCTCTTTTGGAACTTGTCATCTAACTTTCTTCGGAGCATTTTTTTAATTCCTCTTCCCTTTATCAGTGACTTCCTTCTGAAGTCCATAGAGATAATAGATGTGAGAAAAATAGAGAAGAGTTAAGATAGACCACTCCCAGCTGGGCATTGTGCATGCCCAACTGTGTATCATGGTGATGTCCTCATGGACTGCCAGAGAAACATTGTGAAAGAAGTTTGTTTTTCTGGGTTAGCATGAAGAGCTGCAGGAGTTATGAGCCAGGAACTGTGGACAAGACTGTGTCCACAGTATCACGGATGTAGGCCCAATTCACAGGCAGCTTCTTCTCTGTCACTTTGGAAGCAGCTACTCACGTGGCTTTCCAAGTTTGCTTTGGTGATAATTTTACCCCTGCTACTACATTGTAGTTTTTGTTTACATCCCAAGGTAGTAGGGAACACTGGGCAAAAAAGTGCTAAGAAGAGTTTTAATACATTTTGAAAAAGCTTAGTTTTACAGTTTCCAAAATAGAGTTATTACAGGAGTTAGCATCAGAGCATCTCCAGCATGGCCATGATAAGCTAGGCTCAGCTGCCTGTCTTCAATTAGCCAGTTAAAGACAACAGTGAAAAGAGAATGGAGGGCTATTCAGTGTGTCCATACTGGGAAGAGGAACCAAGAGGACTAGTGACACCCACTGTGAGATCTGTGCTCCAATGCCAGGAAGAAGAGTGTCCCCAAGGCCAGGAGCTTAAAGGGAATACAGCTGTAGGCAGATAAGACTTACTTTAGTCATTGTACGCAGAAGTCAGAAGCTGGCAGGCACCCTGGTACCCATGGGACACACACAGGCAGACAGATGTATATGTGCAGACAGGCTGACCATTGCCTCTGACATCAAGACCATATTTATACAGAATCACACAAAAGTGGCATTCAGCCAGGTGTTATTATAGAACAGATTACATTACTGTCACTTTTGGGTTCCCTGGACATCTGATATCAGCCATAAATTTATTGCTGACTCATAGCCCCCAGATGTCCAGCATTAGTCATCTTAGTCTATGCCAGAAGCCCATCATAGTCACATGTTGACTAAATGTAAAGTAGTTTGTATGACCTCCTGTTCCCTTCATGCACACACACCCCTTATCTACTTTCCAGGATCCAGACATGAGGTTCTCAAGTCTACAGCAGGCAAGGGACATGCATGACTAAATTGTTCTGGTCAAGGTGGGCCCCCCATGACTGCCCCATCATTGTCTTTGTTTCAGTCTCTCAGTTGTCAAACCATATGGAATCGATTTCCAGGAGACATGTTCCCCTCTGTCTTCCTCAGGCTTCAGTCTCTCCCCTCTCCCAGCATGAGACTCCTGTGGAAATGCCAGTTCCTTGGCGATTATTGTTCCAGTAGTCTGAGAACCAAAGAGAGAACACAAGTCCCTCTTTGGAATACCTTCATTGACAGTCACAAGAAGAATAAAGGAGTCAGTGAAATGCTGCCATACTGGGACTGTCTAGTCTCTAGTGAGATCAGAACAGTGAAGTCATTCACAGCGGCAGGGACTATGTGTGATGTGCTTCCTCTCATGTTTTTATGGCCTGTTCTTACAAGGTATTCAGTCACCATTTTTAAGATATTGAATGAAGCTGGGCATGGTAGCATGTGCCTTAAATCCTAGCACTTTGGAGGTGAAACAGGAAGATCACTGTAAGTCTCAGGTCAGCCTGATCTACATAATGAGCTCTATGCTATTGGGGGCTACATAGTGAAACCCTGTTTCAAAAACCAAAACAAACAAAACCAGAAATCACTAAAATGTGTGGATGCAGCCTCTAACGTCTCAGCGCTTAAATGGGTCAGCATAAATGACTTGCATGTTATCTGAACATTATGAACAGAGCAACTTAAGTTGCTTCTTTTAATATCTAGAGATTACTGGGTGTTGAAAGCTTGATACCATTTCAAGTTAATGTTGTGCTTGAGTATCTTTGACATGAGCCACCAATAATGCCAGTGCTAGGGAGGCTGAGGGAGGGCGATGAGAGTTTAAGGACTGCCTGGGCTGCATAGTGAGGACCTTTCTCAAAATACACAACATGGCGGGAAAGGGGGGGGGGAAGCTATGCTAGAATTTAATAAGATGAGCCTTCCTGTGTTTCTCCTACCTTCTCTTTCTAAGCAGACCCCAGCAGAATGAGGAGAGCTTCAGGAGGGGAAGCAAATACCATGGTCAGTGCTTTAAAACTGAATTTGTGAAGTATATGTGTGGTGAACATCCGGTGTTCTGACATACTGTGAGGTTTCATATTTGCCCTCGCCCCTCTAGCTAAGTCATCTTTCACCTTCACTGTAGCCAAATCTCTGTGTAGCCAAGGACAACTTTAAATGCCTGGTCCTTCCCTCTCCCTCAAAGTGCTGGAATTAAAGGCACACATCACCACATCTCTCCATTGTCATTTCATGCAAAAAATTCTTTACAGCTGGCTGGGCCTCCTCCTTCAGTTAACAATCAAGACAGCCCCCAACAGACACATCTACAGGCCATTCTCATCTGGGCAGTCCCCCAATTAAAACTCCTTTCTCAGGTGACTACAGACTGTGTCCAGTTGAGGTTAAACCTAAGTAGGACACGCGGCATCCTGAGGGCTTTTAACATCCACTTCCTCCAACTGCTTCAAGGTCCTGATGGGTTGTAGGTGGGTTTTGAAATCACAGGTGTGCTGAGCCATCACTGTGATGTGACAAGAGATGTTTTGTGTCCCCTGGATGTGTCAAACAGAATTTTGAGAACCACTGCATTACAAGAAAAGTTAGTGTGCCTGTTAGTTAGCAAGGCCTGTTGCCTGTCCATTCATTGAACCAGTAACTGAGAACCATGCCTGGACCAGCTAGGGGCTGTGTTTGTATCCCTTCTCTGAATATGCACACACTTAGTGAGGACCACTCATTGTGTTACTGCACTGCATGAAGTTTAGGGTTCTGACAATTGAGAAAAATGCCAATTTAATCACATTTCTATAATAGAGTTCTCTATGACAAGGGTGGGAGACTTTGCAATGAATACTCAAAGACCCAGGGTGAACAACCTATTTAAAAAATTTTTTTACTACATTTATTTAACTATGGGGTTGGGGACACATATGCTGTAGTGTGGTGATCAGAAGACAGTTTGCTGGGGTTGATTCAGCAGCAAGTGTTCTTAACTGCTGAGCCATCTCTTTCCAGGCTCCCCGTCTTAATGATTTGGGGGTATATAGTTCAATAGTATTTATACTCATACACATTAATATTTGACTACTTTTAAAAATGTAGCTACCAGAGTGGCAGAGATGGATGGATGGATGTAGAAAGGGATAGGGAGGGAGGGAAAGAGAATATGAGAACATAAGTGTGTAAGGAGGTGGGGAGGATCTGGGTGGAGATGGGGGAGAGGAGGCCACGATCAGAATATATTGCATGAAAAAATTTATTTTTAATTAAAGGAAAAACTGGTTAAATAGCTCTGCTGTTTATATATGTGTACACCCCCACACACACACATTCATCCTGTAATGGCTACTGATACACATGGATACTAATATACGTGTGTATGAGCAAACTGCTATTCATATGCATGTGTATATGATATTTAATGGCTACCAATATGTTTATATTTGGGTTTCTTGAATTCATGTTTTTAGTGCATTACTTTTACTTTTAATTAAAATGGCTGATTACATATGTTTGCATTTCTGTAGTAATACAGACATCATTTAATCACTATTTTAAATCTATTATAAAGCATGATAAAAAGTGTACCCATTCTGAATTGGAAAGCACACGTACACACTCATTTGGAAGTGCATTGAGGAGAGGAATTGCAGGTGAGTTACTCAAGTTATGATCATTACTATGTAGGGAGTTGGGGGCTGTGGGTGAAGAAGACCAGTGTTCACCTCACTTGGTCTGGGGTATCATTAGCAAGTAGGCAATATTTACTGTTCATCCAGGATTTACTATCAGAAAAATATTTTGGTTATCTGCAAAATAAGAGACATTAAGGTCTGGAGAGATGGCTTCATGGCTGTGCTTCCAGAGGACCTGGGTTCAATTCCCAGCACCCACATAGCAGCTCACAAGTGTCTATAACCCCAGTTCCAGGGAATATGATGCCTTCTTCTGACTTCTGTGGACACCAAACATGGTGCACAGGCAAAATGGCCAATAATATACTATTTATTATTTTTTTCCAGACAGTCCATGGCTATCCTGGAATATACTTCATAGAACCTGGCTGGCCTCGAACTCACAGTGATCCACCTAACTCTGCCTCTGGAGTGCTGGGATTAAAGGCGTGCACCACTAACATCCAGCTATTGTACAATTTTTTTAAAAAGTGAGAGATTAAGGGTGGGGGGTGTGATTTGGTAATAGAGTTCATGCTGTCATCCTGAGTCTCTAAGTAAAAACCTCAGCCTACAAAACAATAAAAGGGAAGTGGGGAGGGAAGGGAAGGGAGGGGAAGGTGTGCCAGTGAGAGTCGTTAGATGTATAGCTAATGTTGTGTGCATGAGTCCTTGGAAGTTTCATTCCTGTACGTCATGCAAAAGGTTAACGATATTTGTATTTTAATGCAGCTGCTTCAATGGTTTGTTCTGAATTGAGCTATCATTTTGCATGACCTCATCTCAAGATTTTTGTTAATATTTCCTTGTTCCTAAGACTGGACAGGACTCTTGCTACATCTGAGTTTGAAAGAGACAAGAAATAGTTCTGCCTTGTTTGAGTACTTGTTTAGATGTGGGTGAATAAACAGAAAATGATACTGTTGACCCTCCTCTTCCCCATTGGAGAATCAGGTAGTCCATCAGCACACCAGAAGAGTGCCGCTCCAGCAAGCCCTCCCAGGCAGCAGTGGGAGAGACGTGTTCCCAGTTCCGTGCTAACAGCTTTGGAAAAAGCACCCATCCTTACCTACAGTTTCAAGGCAGAGGATGACAGAGGTTAGCACCATCATCGTCCCTTGGGGTCTGGTTTCAGATACCAAAGTTCATGCATGCCCAGTCACCCTTTGTAAAATGCATATGACCCCCACATTCTCTTATATACTTTGATGTCTATACCACTTGTACATAAGGCAGCATAAATACTATGTAAATAGTTGCCGCACTGTACTGTTTATGTGCATATGTGAATATGTTCAATACAGACTTGTTTTATTTTTTAATTTTGATTTTATTTGTGTGTGGGGGGTGCGAGAGACTATATGTGCATATGTATATGTATATGAAGCCAGCGGAGAGTGTCAGATCCCTTGGAGCTGGAATTACAGGCATTTGTGAACTCCCCAGTGTGAGTGTCGGGATCTGAACTCTGATCTTTGTAATTGAGAAACACATGCTCTTATCAACTGAGCCATCTCTCCAGCTCCAGACTTTTAAAAATATCTTAGATCCAAAAATTTGGAGCCCATTGATATATACAGGGAAGACCATAGTCAGACTGAACAGACTGAACAGTCTGTAGTAGAATTCAATGGCGTTTATATCACTCTGCAGTGGACATTTGATGCTCCTCTTGCAGGTGAGTGAACTAGATTTTCAGTGAGAGTCACATTAAACAACTTTGCTTGAAATGTGATGTGAAGGATAGACTCTGGAAAATCTTTTTTTTTTTTTTTTTAAATCTGGTGCTAATGTCCCTCTTTACCCCTAGGTGGTTCTGTAATAAAGTACAGTGAAAATCATGCCCGTAAGCAGTGGCTCAGAGAGCCCCCCGAGACCTTGTTGTCAATGCTGAAGGATGCTGATCTCAGCCTGGCATTTCAAACATACACAATAAATAGACCAGGTAATGTTGGCCTATTATATGATCATGTGGATACTTTGATTTTCAAAAATATGGTAAAATATGAATAAAATTGACCATCTTAATAATTTTTTAAAGATTTATTTTTATTTATGTGTTTGTGTCTGTGTGAGTGTATGCCACATGTGTGCAGGTTCCTAGGGAGGTCATAAGAGGAAGTCAGATCCCTTGGAGCTGGAATTAATAGGCAGTTGTGAGCCTCCATGTAGGTAGGTGCTAGGAACCAAACTCCGGTCTCTAGAAGAGCAGCACGAGTTCTTAACTGCTGAGCTACCCCTCTCCAGGCCCCTGTTCTTAATATTCCCTGGCTCTACAGTTCACTAGTTTTACAGTCATGCCCGATGTTGTGTAACCAGTCTCCAAATTCTGTTTCTTTGCAAAGCTGGAGAGCTGCACACATTAAATAATAACCCCATTCTTTTTTCCTCAAACCCCTGTGACTTTAAAGTTGTAAAGATGGTACAGGAAAGATGGCTCAGCATTTAGGAGCACCCCGCATTTCGGTTCCCACCACCATGTGGCAACTTCAGATCTAGGGGATCCACTCTTGGTACACAGGCACACGTGTGGATACATACACATAAAATAAAGATAACTACATCTTTGAAGTTCCAAAATTGCATTTTTAGGTGTTCTTGAATCAAGTATGGGCAGACTTAACCTGTGTTTAAAATTTCTCATACAGATTATTTATTTCTATTTCCTGATTTCCTTTAGCAATCACAATACTGCTATGTTTAAAACCTTTTTAAATTGTTAGTGGTGCTAGGGATCAAACCCATGCTGTGCATGGTAAGCTGTGTCCCTAACCCAGGAACAGCACTTTTTGCTAATGTAAATATATAGTTGTCTGAGGGGTAACCTCAAACCTCAATTTTTTTTCTTTTTTCTTTTCTTTTCTTTCTTTCTTTTTTTCAAGACAAAGTTTATCTGTGTAACAGTCCTGGCTGTCTTGGAATTCACTTTGTAGAGACCAGGCTGGTCTGCTTCCCTACTAGTACTGGGATTTTATTTGTTTGTTTGTTTTTTGAGACAGGGTTTCTCTGTGTAGCTTTGGAGCCTATCCTGGCACTCGCTCTGGAGACCAGGCTGGCCTCGAACTCACAGAGATCCGCCTGCCTCTGCCTCCCGAGTGCTGGGATTAAAGGCGTGTGCCACCAACGCCTGGCTTAGTACTGGTATTAAAGGTGTACATCACCATGCCTGGCTTCAAAATTTCTTTAAATTCTGTTATATTGAATAGAGCTTTAAAATAGGACAGTTAGTTTTTTTTTTTTTTTTTTTTTTTTTTTTTTTTTTTGTAGCCTTGATTGCCCTGGAATTCTCTTTGTAGTTTTGTAGACCAGGCTGGCCTTGAACTCACAGAGATCCACCTGCCTCTTCCTCCCAAGTATTGGTATTAAAGGTATGAGTCACTACTGCCTGGCCAGGATTTAAATTTTGAAACATATTTTCATTAAGCTTATTAGACAGAACAACCATTTGTAATATTTCCCTTAGGACTCCAGGCCAGAGGACTGCATTTAAGGATTGCATATGTATGCATGGAACTTGCATAATTCAAAAGCTAACTCTCCTTGCTTTTTTTTTTAATTTCTTTTTATGTATTCTTCTCTTGTATAATACATCCTGATGGCGGCCTCCTCCCCACCTACTCCACCTCCCCTTCCTGCTTGCTTAAAATCTGAGATCAATCATACTAAGTAGAGCCTTTAATGGCATGGTAGTTGTCTAAGTATTGCAAGAGATTTAGTATTATTTATTTGATGAATGTTTATTGAGTGGCTAATACAGATTATGATTAAAAAGAAGAGGGCTGGTGTCTAGCCCAGCTGTGGTGCACTCTGTAGAGCATGCATAAGACCCGAGCTAACTCCTTAGATCTTTCTTATTATTTGTTTTGAGACAGGATCTCCCCAAATTGCTCAAATTATAATATACATTTCCTATTTTAAAAGTTTTTAGTGTATTTTTCCCCTCTCTCGGAGAGAGTGTTGCTTTAAAACTTAATCTATGCCAGGCATTGGTGGTGCATGGCTTTAATCCCAGCACTCAGGGGTCTGTTGCCTACCCAAATCATGATGAGTAAATACTATTTAAATTGTCCAGCTTCCCCAGGTACTATGGCTCTGGTCTATAGTGCTAACGTTTGGGAAGCTGTGATGAAGAACAGCCTAGGAGATCAAGTCGAGCCTGGGCAGTGTAGTGAGACCCCATTTAAAAATGAACAGGTGAACTGTCATACTTTCTGTTGCTGTCCCTGAAGGTACGGAAGGATTCTTGAAAGGTCCCCTTTCTGAAGAAACAGCATCAGACAGTGTCGATGGAGATCAAGATTCTGTCGTTTTGGATCCAGAGAGATTTGAGCCTCGGCTGGATGAGGAAGACACGTATGTTGTAATAGACCTAGCATGCTTTAATTGGGGGAATGAAGCCTGTGTGCACATGCCATCTCATACCACAATAATATCAGACTTAGTAATAGCTACACTGCTTTCATGCTAAATGAGCACTTCTCTTTGTTCCTGTATGGTAGGCAATACTGACATTGTACTATGAATTCCTGGATGGATCCTGCACATAGTGTGTTTTCAGCCTGGACTTGTATTTGTTTCTGAGTTTTGAGACACTTAAGCTCCTCCTGAATCAGCTTCCAGGTGTTGGGATTGGATGCTTGTGCCAATATATCTAGCTTTCATTTGATAATACATTAAGGTTTTTAACATTAAAAAAAACCACAGTGACACTTTTTTGGGGGAAAGACTAACTTTTTTTTCCTCTACTCAATTATTTTATGGAATTGATGTTGTGAACCCATCAAGAAGTTCAAACCATGCACCTAATCCAGAAGCTTATCATTCAAACTGTTTTCACAGGGACTTTGAGGAAGATGATGAAAACCCTGACTGGGTGTCAGAACTAAAGAAGCAAGTGGGACGGCAGGATGTATGTGATGGGAAACTCCTCGGAGAATGTGCCTGAGCCATGTGGGGAGACACTGATGATTGGAAACAGAATGAAGACTGAGAAAATGTACCACAAGCTTAAATACCAACCCAGTCCCTTGTGAGTTGTTTTTAACACAAGGGAGGTCTAGAGATGCTATGTGCCTTACATTCTGATAGAACAGAGGTAGAATGCTAGGCTGCTGGATAACTCTGTGTGTGATAATAGGAAATTACTTAACTTCTTGGATCTGCCATTTTTTTCAACTATACAATGAGAATAACATTGCCTACCTCATAGGAACACTGACCAAGACAGTTATAGCAACCCATGTGTTGTTATCCATGGTTTCTATGTGACACTCACATTTCCTAAAGGGATCTAAATATATTAAATTGTGACATAAAAATGTGTGCTATTTTTCAGTAAATACCCAATTTGGTGATGCTTCAAAATGATTTCCAATGATATTTACCAACTACCAGCTGTCCTTAAATGTTCCTCATAGGCTTTATAAAAAGCCGGGGGTCAGGGGATCAGCATTAAGATGCGTGGGGTGGGCTCCCAGAGGGTTTGCAGTCCTAGACCAGAGGCAGGAAAACAGCCAAAGAGATATGATGAGCATCAGAAACTAGATTGTGTTATGGAATGAAGTGGGGCACCGTGCACATACATCCTGGACCCCAACATGAAATACCTCATTTAATGCTATGACACTTTAGAGAAGGGAGAATCTTTCCCCAATGAAGAAACTGGCTTCTAACCCCCGAGGAAGAGTAGGTAGAAATTCTAGTCCAGTCATTTACCAGGATCCGCTGAAATAGGAACTACAAGTAGCTTTTAACAACTTAACTCTCCCCTTTTTTTCAGTGCTGGGGATCAAACCCAGGACCTTATGAATGCAAGGCAAGTAATCTACCATAGCTATTTCATCACAGCCCAGCTTTTGTTTATCTTAACATGCAAAGGCTGCTGTGCAAACCCCCACCCTGGCTGTCTATCTCCTTGTATGTACGCAGTCATTTAGTCAGTGTTAGATCTCTGGCAATTTCTGGCTTCCCTTGCCATTTTTGAGGATTGCTGGTTAGGTATTTTGTTTTTATCCTCAATTTGGGTGTGTCCAGTGTTCTTCACAAAGGTAAGCCCTGTCTTCATGTCCACTCAGGGAGTACATGACGTCAGCATGGTGTGCCACAGATGCTGCCTGCCTCCATTAGTAGGTACTGATTTCCCCATCCCTGTTCTGCTCACTGTCGATAACTGAGGCCTCACTGATGCCAAGAGGATTTGATTCTACCTGTGTTAGAGCAAGAGTGTAATGTTACCCTGAGTCACTGGTTTGGTTGCCTAATTGTTTCCAGCTGGTTTTATGCACTTTTGTGATGTTCTTATCATTTTAAATTACTAAATTAAATTAGATAAAGTAGGATCAACCTTGGAACCTTCTCTGTTCCAGCCCCAGAATCAACAACCCTTTTTCCAAGAAGCCACAGTTCCTCTCATTGTTTTAAAGCCAGTGCCTGTGTGCTGGTTACTCCTGGTGTATCGGGGCTGTCTACATACCTATGTTTGTGCATCCCCATCTGTTTGAATATTAAGCACAGCCTTACACTGATGTCACTGACTCATCCAATCCCATAAGACTACTTCAGGCATCTCCTCTTGTTCTTTTTCTATTCCCGTTTTTCCTGATAGTGAGAAACATAGATTGCAGGCATCTGTTTAGTGGTTGAGACCAATATACTACAAAGCAGTGACTCAGTGTTATGAGGAACAAATTAGCAACTAGGGGTGCAGAGCTTGTGTGTGGCCTCTATTGTCAGCTTCACCAGTCCTAGGTCATTCCCTTGAACATTAGCTTGCCACTTGAACATGTTTCATGTTCAAGAAGGCATCAATAGTTACAAGACTATTTCCAAGACACTCAGCTTCCATATATCCCATCCTCTGTATCTCCTTATCTGCTCTAATCACTGGGTACAAACATTACAATCCATCAGACAAATCAAACTTGAAATTATGTGCATAATTATATCTCATTAGTCACTGAAGAGTCTATAAATCATCTTGAAAATCAGATGATTTCCACTTTAAACCAACTCCATGTGTTTGCTTATTTGGGTAAGATTTGCCAGCCCTGGTAGCTTTTAAAATGAAAGAGAAGTAGGTGTGTCACACATCTTTAGTTTCAGCAGGGATACAGAGGCAGGCATCTGGACCTCTGTGAGTTCCAGGCCAGCCAGGGGTACATAGTGAGACCCCACCTACAAAAAACAAACAAAACCCTGAAGCACTTTAGCTCCTATGGGCAGGAAATGCTTCTTTCAGAACATTGTGACCAAGGAGAACTTCAAGCATTAAAAAGATTACATTGTTATAAAATTGTGACCCAGGAACTAGGATGTAGATAAATGAGAAAAGGGAATAATGTATGATTTTAGAGAAGTGAACTTTGTTTGGGGGTGGGGCATGGACGATGGTGGACTAGAAATGGCATGGGACTTAGATTCCACTGGATATGGCTGTCTTCCGTGTGCTACTATTTACTACCCTGAAAGTGGTATGTTTTCCCACAGGTCTGCACCTTGATGTACCAATATGACATGGAGCTAGACTGAGATGGGTGCATTTGCAGACCCTTGGGCAGCACCTGGTTTTGCTTGTGGACCCGGGTTCCCTTCTTAGTACACTCCTCAGCAGTATTTGAGACCTTGCATGAGAAACATGCTTCCTCCTCAGAATATATATTACAGTTGAATGCTGCTTAGCATGTATGGAATCCTAGAGATCATGACCACCACCTCCCCCAATAACCAACACATTTTCTCTCAGCATTGCTCACTCGTCAGAAACTTCTGTAGATGGCAGACAGCAGAGAATATACATACCAACAACACTAAAGAAACTCTCCCCCATGCACAAAAAAAAAAAAAAAAAAAAAAAAAAACAGGGCTA